GAATATGAAAATATAATGCAATATCAAAATTGCAACGCTGACATATATAAGCTATTTATATTTTACTTGCTTTTATTTACATACATGTTTACCTCTCTATAATACTTCTCTATATATTAACTGACATGTGTTAACTGATGAAAAGCCTTATCTGGTACTTAGGGAAATAAATTCATGAGACGTTACAGACTGTTTAAATCTTACGACTGTATATAAATGTGGTTAAAATGCAGAATTTTTTTGAATGACATATATTAAACAGAATAACATTCTAGAGAATTTGGGCAACTACATATTTGCCTTTAATGTGTTATAGAGCTATTCTTGTGTAAAACACATCTATTTCAGCCTAGAATTTAAAATGAGTCAGTTGAATAATCAAAAATTTTAAAAAATCATTTATTTTTGTGTTTTAACTTCTTAAAAGTTGCAAATATGTAGGCCTTGATTTAAACTTTGTGCCAGGTATGCATGTGTTATTATAGCACATGATGTCATGTACAAAGTTGATGGATCAGTTATTTATGGTTGCATCTGTTAAAAGTAAATTTAATTATTTTAGAAAACAATAGAAGAGAGTTCATTTATTTTGCAAAGTCAAGGCAAATGAGGAAAACCTCCAAAGTTTGAGAGAAAGTAGTAGTCAGCATGTGACATAAAACTGTACAGAAATTTACGTGATAAGTTTGAGCAAAGATCATATTTCAAAGAAAGAAGTAAGGTACAGCTAGTGTAAGTTGCAAAAAGCTCATCTTGGAAATATATAGAGAGAAGTCATGTCCACCCAGCTGGGATAGTGATGATTTATTTCTACATTAGTTTCTCAAGATTTGTGTAGTTAATGAAACATATTATTGTGGCATTTCCCTTTTAAGGAAGAGTTTCAGGATTTTGTCTCGAATCTGCTTAGTTTTCACCACATACACGATGGGGTTCATCACGGGAGGAATGAGGAAGTGCATGTTGGCCATGGCCACGTAGACGTGGGAGGGAAGCCTGGGGCCAAAGCGGTGCAGCATGGACAGGCAGATCATGGGTGTGAAGAACAGGACCACCGCACACAGGTGGGAGATGCACGTGTTGAGAGCCTTGAGGCGCCCACCGTGGGAGGCGATGCTCAGCACAGTCTTCAGAATCAATGCATAAGAGAGCAGAATGAGGAGGAAGTCAAGCCCCATGGTGGACAGCAACACAAAGAGCCCAAAGATGCTGTTGATCCTGGTATTGGAGCAGGAGAGCTTTATGATGTCAGGGTGCAGGCAGTAAGAGTGGGAAAGCACATTGGAGCGACAGAAACACAGCCTCTTCAAAAGGACAGGCAGAGGTACCTGTACTGTCAAAGTCCGAAGAACAATAGTCAAGCCTATCTTGGCGATCACCCCATGTGTGAGGATGGAGGAGTAATGCAGTGGATGAGAAATGGCCACATAGCGGTCGAAGGCCATGGCCAGAATGACGGCTGACTCGAGGTCCTGGAAGGTGTGGATAAAGAACATTTGGGTGAAGCAAGCGGGGAAGGTGAGCTCTCGAGCATCCAGCCAGAAGATGCGCAGCATGGTGGGGAAGGTGAAGAGGGACAGGCCCAGATCAGAGGCCGCCAGCATGGCCAGGAAGAGGTACATAGGCACGTGGAGGGTGTGCTCCCTCCAGATCACTGTCATGATGGTCACGTTGCCCAGCAAGGTAATGAGAAACATGGTGCAGAAGGGTATGGAGATTCCGATGTGTGCAGCCTCCAGGCCTGGGATGCCTGTGACCAGGAAGCTGGAGAAGATGCAGTCTGTGCTGTTGACAAGGACCATGATGCCAGTGGAACAGCAGTTTCCTAAAATAACGAAAAATATGTTCATGTTTGTTTTGAGTTTTCACTTTATCTACTCATCATGCTTCTTATTTTAAACTGCCAGCTCTAGGTTTTCAATATGACATTAAATGCTGTTTTCCAATATATAGCATCTGACCTTCTACATTAACAAATTTTTCTATTATAGTCCCTGCATACTGTAACCTATTGATATTAGTAAGTCTTTTGAACTATGTATCCTACTGGCATCATGATAGTGAAAATCAAAATTCAAACTAAATATTGTACCAATAGACACTGGCACCTCGCATAGTTTTACTTTTCTGATTTTAGTTGTTCTTGACCAACTGTGGTGAACATTTACTCAATGAATAATTCTAGAGAAAACAATTCATAAATATGAGACGCTCGTTGTCTGTAGTAGCATTGTTGTATCCCATGCCATTCTGCCCTATTGGCCCCTCTAACATTAGTTTCCCTTTAGTTCACCTTATTTATATAGCGCACGTACCCATTAGAACTTTGTGCACTGTCTGAGTTATCACCTCCACCTCTGTGGCTAAACATTGCTGCGTTCATGCAGTCATTCTACCTAATAATGGCCCAGGTACAAGCATGGTGATGTTGGCAATTAGGATTTCCAGGAAAATGATAGGAAAAG